CGCCGCGCTTCCCAAGCGGCGCACTATCCAGTGCGCCACTGGGCCGGCCCCTCTGAGGGCTTTAAAAGAAGAGGAGAGTCTGTCTTTTTCTCTGCTCTGTCTGCTTCCACCATCATGCAATGTGAGACCCCTGGGTCACTGTCACCACCACCAGATGGACTTTGGACTTCCCAGCCTCAGAAACTGTAAGCAGTAAATGTCATTTTTGTTTATAAATCACCTAGTTCCAGCTATTTTGTTATAAGCAACAAAAACAGACTAATACACACCCCAGCCCAGGGGTTGCAGAATGCTGCATCAATCCCGTGCGTCTCTGTGTGCACACGCGTGTGCGCACGCGTGTATGAGAGTGTCTGTGTGCACGTCTGTGTGTTCGTGAATGTGTCTGCGTGAAGATGTGGGCTGTCCTCAGCCTTGAGCAGCATGTCACAGGGCCATGCTCAGGACCTCTGCCTCAGGCCAACGTTGGCCCTGGGAGTGAGACAGGGCTTCCTGGAGGCTGGTGGCCCCATCAACACCTGCACCTTCCTGGGGCCTCAGCAGGTCACTGTCCTCACCAGTGTAGCAGGGACAGTCATCCTGTGTGGATACAACCTGCCAAACCAACGGTGTGGTCACTGTTCTTAGGAACAATAAGAGATGCTGAGCAGCCCGTGCCGGCTCAGTGGGGCTGTCCCAGCTGAGGAATGAGGGGAGACGGGAGCAGGTGCTGGACACATTCCCGGCCACACCTACAGACACCCCCCCCCAATGGCAGCCTGCCGCCATTGCTGCCATTGCCATGGGGACCTCCGTACTCACTGTGTGCCCCTCCCATGAGTGCCTGGAGGAGGAGCAGCATACAGTAGGTACTCAGTAAAGACTCGTCAACTGACTATGCTCAGCCTCCGTCTTGGGCTGGAAGGGGACCCAGATGGTGCCTTCCCTATCGCCAGGCCCTGGGGGAGTCCCACGTAGACTCCTGCCTCAGAGGGTGGGGGGACAGAGTGAAATTGTCCTAGGCCCAGGCCCAAGAGGGACCAGGGGCCATTCCCTGCTGAGCACTTCCTGGAGGAGCCGGGCCCGGGTGGGGCTGCTTGGGGCCTGGAGCATTTCCAGGCCTTTGGGTTCCAGGGCCCTGACCCAAAGCTCTGCCTGGAATGCCGGCATTACCAGCCCTTACCCAGCTTTCCCCTCCTGGGCTTCAAGCAGCTCCTGGTCACATCTGCTCTAAGTTCTTCCATGGCTCCCTAGTGCCTTTAGGGCTCAATGCCTCAGTCCCTGAATCAAGGCCTGGCATTCAAGGCCCAGAGTGGAGGAGTCTGGGAGGAGCTCTGGCACCCACGTGTCCTTACATCCTGTGGTCACACATTTCCCAGGTGATGCAGGTCGGGCGAGGGAGCCCCTGCTCTTTCTCAACAGGCGTCACCTGTGTCCTCACTTGTGCACACCTGATGCTCGATAAAATAATCGAGGAGCCAACAGCGTCTGCTTGACAGATGAGGAAACAGCTGGGATTGGGGTCACAGCCTCCCAGGAGGCTGGAGCTGGACAGCTGGCTCCTGCCTCTCCTGCAAGGTGCTTTCTTTCCTGACCCACCACTGCAGGGGAGGGGGACCCGGGGCTTGCTGGGGCTGGGGCTGACTGGAGTCTCCTGGGTGCTTACCAGGCAAGCCCTGTCCGGACCGGGACCCCACAAGTGACCACAGCAGACATGGCCACCCTCGTGGACTTCACAGTCCAGACATGGGACAATAATGACACTGAAAACAATATAATTGCAAACACGATGGGCTCTGACTGCCATGGGGAAAGGGCACAGGAGAGCCTTTCACAGGGCGGGTGTTTTGGATCGAGGGATCAGCCCACGCAAAGGCCCGATGGCAGTAGATTTAGAGAAACAACGTGGCTGGGCAGGTTGACAGCCTGATGGGACCTGTCACATAGGTGTTGGGATTTATTCCGTGGGCAAC